TAAATTCGGTAAAATATTTTTTCTTTGATTATTATTTATAATATTTTATTCTTTTCTTTTAATGAATAAGATCTTCGAATTTATGCATTATTAACATCATGTGATCCGCTTCGTGTATTTATTTTTAATAATGGACTTGTTCGTATGAGTACAGAAAAATATGAAATACCTAATCGCAAAAATGCTGTATATTATTTTATATAAAAAAGAAAAAGAAAAATAATTTTTTTGAAATTTTCTAGTCTCATCTTTTTATGCATTTAACAAATTATTCAGTAAATAAATATAATGTTGATTATGAAATTAGTACATCAAATACTAATGCCGAGAATACAGGAAGTAAACGGTCACTTAAATTTTTATTTGAATATTTACGAACACAAAATCAAGATGCAACTACACTTTGGAAAGATATACAAGTAAAACTAAATATTTCAAGAAAAAAAAACGAATGAAAAATCAAAATATATTTTTTTTTCTTCAAAGAACATTGTAATAAAAACAGTATTTCTTGCTCAACCGCATTTATTTGCTGCTTATCGAATGTGTCGTCCCGGTGCTTCACCATCAAGTGAAAGTGTTTGTTTTGAATTACTTGGTTTTGATATACTAGTTGATAAAAATTTAAAACCATGGGTACTTGAAGTATGTATTGAAAACTTTCATTTATTAGTTAATGATTTAACGAAAATAGGTAAATCGTTGTCCAAGTTTTGGTACTAATGAGCAAATTGATTTTGATATGAAAATGAAATTATTACTTGATACATTTGAATTACTTCGTTTTCGAACATCAGACAGAAAAAAAAGTCTTGCTATTGAAAAAGCTGAAGCACAACGGCGTTTATATTCAAATATGGGTAAAACTAGTCGTTTATTGGATGATGCATCACTGATTCTTTCAAATGGAAACTATCGAGATGTTCGAACTCGACAAAAAAGGCTTGCTGATGTCGTATGTTTAAAATACTATACTTCTAATCTTGATAGGAAATTTTTATTTTTCAATAGAAAGAAAAATTATATCTTCTTCAACGTGAAACAGCTCGTGAAACATTTGAAAATCGTCATTTAGGAAGTTTTATACGTTTATTTCCTGTTGAAGATAGTATTCGAATGAATGAATTAATGATCATATTAACAAAATGTTTTGATGTATTATATGCAAATAAAAAAGATTTATCATGGAGTACAAAATATTATAATCGATATAAAGAAGAAGAATTATTAGAACAATTGGCTGAACTTGAAGATCTTGATCAAACTGAACAAAAACGAAATCCTCGTTTAGCTTTTGTGAGTATTTCTTTTTCCTTTTGGATAGAAAAAAGAAAATCTTTTTTTACGTGATAAAACGAAATATCGAAGAGAAAAGATTAAAAAAAAGACTATCAATTCTATACGTGGTGCTTTCAGAGTGCTCCAAGTAGCAAAAGTTCGTTTTCATCATGGTCAAGTGTAAACCTTGCCGAAGTAAGTTTTTAATCAATCGTTACACTATTTGTTGTTGCAATTTGTTATTTTATCACCTTTGTACTCACCAATTTTATATCAATATCCATTGTTAGTTCACTATATTATTGATTTTCCCATTGAGTCATGATGTTTGTATCATATATATTTCAATATTCTGCACAAAATTTTACTTATTAATTTTTTTTTCACATTGCTTATTTCTTTTTAATATAGGTATCAAATAATAGTCTTCCAATAGAACGTGCATCTCCATCAGCTAGTTTTGCATCCGAATTAAGTGATGATGATGATGGTCAACATCAAGTGAACTCACCCGTACCGTCTGATTTAGTTAATAAAGCAACATCATCAACAACTACGATAACAACAACTAGTTCTTTATTGAAAAGATATACAACACAATCACGAACAAATGTACTTCGTCCAACACCACTATCACCATTAATTATTCGAAAACAACAGCAAATATCAGTTGTTTCTTCAAATACTCTTCGACGACCAACCTTACAAACACAAGGAAGTCCATCAGACATGAAATCAAATCGAATAATTGATAAGAAAACTTATTCAACATCACCAAGTCAAAATACAGATCGACAAAGTCCACAATCTCGAATAGCATCCAGAGGAATGAATAATCATTCTCAAATGGTTACATATACAACAATTACACAAACACCTAGAAAATTATTAAATAGTAATACATCATCTGTTGGTCGATCAACATCATTCAATACTCCTAAAGTTCGTATAAATTTTTATAATAAAATAAACTAAAAAATTTATATTCTTGTTATGTAGGAATTACAAATGAGTGATGCTGACTTGAATCGTCTCTATCAATTAACACTTGAACAAATGCATCAATTATGTATTCGCTATCCAAATAAATCTGATGATGAAACACGACAAATTTGTCATGAAATTGTTGAAAATTGGAATAAATATCGAACATCAATAGGAGAATTTTGGTTATCGAAATTAGATACACGAAAAAGACAAGCAATTATAAGAATCGTTTGGAATAATGTTCAACAAATAATGAAACAATTATGGAAAATTGATCAATATGTTGAACAATTATCATTAAGTAAACATTTAACTAAATTAGAACAACGTTTATTAGCTAATAATGGACAATATTTATGGGATATATGTCAAAATCGATATAAGTATGTAAAAACAAAACATAATTTTTTCATTTATTTTTATTTTTGCTTTTTTTTTTAAAGTTCATGGGGATCATCATTGATAACAAGTACAAATCGTGTATCTCCAATTGAATTAGCTTGTTGTAATCGTTTTATTGAATTATGTAAACAAGCTTTATTTATTGTTTATCGTTATTCAATTGATGAAAAAATTAAAAAACAGCAACAACATCAAACAGAAGGATCAACAATAATGGTTATTTCATAAATAAGTGAAAAATATTTTTCTACTAGTTATAGTCAGTTCTGTTTTTTTCCGGTGGTTGGTATTTTTCTTTACAATAATTTTTTTTTAAATTAAAATAATGCATGCAAATTATTCTCATTTATTTCAAAAAAAATGTTAACAAAGAAATTTTTTCATCCGACAGAATTTAACAAAAGTTTTTCAAATCTATGAAACAATTATAAATTAAATTTTATTGAGTTCGAATAAATATATAGACATTCCAAATAAACAAAGATCATTTAAAGCAAGAGAATGAATACACTTTTGTAAAAAAAATAGCTTGTAATTGTTGCTCGTTAAATACATAATTTATCGTAAGTCTACAAATCAGAGCTTAATAATGCAACTTATTGATTCGAAAAAATTTCGTCAATTAAATTCAATTCGCGTTAATAATTAAATGAGTTATTCATTATCCAAATTAATAGAATTATACACCTGTACATTAAAGACATAGATGGATAAGACAGATATGCGTATCATATATGTACTCAAAACGATTAGCAATAACACTATGCAAACGTAAAAGCTAAATATAGAACTGCAAGTATGATTCAGACACTTTGAAACAAAGGACCTAAAGAAACATTGCAAAAAAAATCACGACCTTTTATATTTCTGAGATTTTGTTTTACAAAATTTGTTTTTTTTCTTCGCTAGAATTAATAGAAATTTGATTTTTAAATTGCATTGAATTGAATTCACAGATCTTCGAAAACTTCTTTCAATTCAATTTAAATCAATTTGTAGAACTTTGTACAATGTTTTAATTTAATGCACTTTAAGTCATGAATTGAATTGAGTTGTTCAGTTCTGCTACAAATGAACTATGTTTACCAAAAGAATTATCTATGTTGTCAACTTTTTGAATAATATCATACTTAAAAAACAACAAGATTGTCCTAACCTTAATCACTGATCAAAATCTCATTTTTTAATGAAATTGAATCTTACAATATCTCTTCATATTTGTTCTTCTATTCTGATAGATGCAGATAGAAGAAAACTCATACTAATCTCGATTCATCATTCATATAGGTTTTATATATATTCAAAGAACTGCAAAGATTATTTAAAAGAAAGATTTGATAGACTTCGAAAACGAAACTAGGATTTAGAAAACAAAATGCAAAAAAAGCGACTTTAGAGATTTCTATATAATACCAATAAATCAGATCTATTAGAGAATTAGTTCATTGTACACTCTTGGATACGATACAAATGTAATTCGATAATACAATAAGAACCAATTCGTCATACAAAACTAAATATTCTAATTCAAGTCTAATATTTTGAAAAAATTCTTACGTGTATAAAGGTGTTGTAAACAATAGAATAGATATAGTTCATGACACAGATGGAGATATTTCGATTTTCGACTGAAATAACATTGATTAATGCTTTATTATGATTAAAATGTGATGTAAAGGTCGAAATCCATTTCACAGCAATCGAAACTTGTATTGACTTCAATTTTTTTTTAAAGAAAAAAGCAAAGTCTGGACAGCACAATATGAAAAAAATGGCAGTTATCAAGAATTGAATTTCATCAGTCAAATTGTAATAAAAATTCAATGTCATTCACAGTTCGTCACATAACATTAAGTATTATAAGTCCAAGAAACTTTTTTCATCAAACGCCAAAAGTTTTGTTTTTATTTTGAGATGAAATCTCACATAATACAAATAGTTATTGGCTCATTAAATAAATAAAAAGATTAAAACTAATACAAGATTTCATAGCTGATATTTTTTCGAAATTCCTGTACAGTTTTTTGTACTCTTATGCTTATTTTACATTATGACATAATACATATACAACATCGATCTTTCTAGTTAAATTAAACATATAAAGCGTATCGTTCTTGAATTGTCTTTGATTGTGTTCATCGGTCAAATCGAAAATTAGAAAAAAAAGAGACATACATAACCGGTCATCGATCGTTCAATCAATATTCACCTTGAATCTTTTTTGATTGAACGATGATAAGGACGCCATTTTTCATAGGTTCTATTACATAAAAATTTACCTTATTTCATTCATTTGAATATATTGACGAACTATATACATTCGCAAAAAAAAAATGTTTGAATATAGCCATCCTGATCAATATATTCTTTCAAGTTTATGTCCATATTCTTGCTCAATTGTTGACTTTGCTCTTCGTATTGGTGGAATATTAGATCCTGAATTTTTAATACAATGTAAAATAACAGATAAAAAATTAAAAAAACAAATTGATGGATTAAAACAAATTCCATTACAATTTGAACCATTACCATCTACTTTTGATTATCAAGAAGAACTTTTTCTTGATATGGGTATACCAGATAAAAAAAATTTCTATAATTCATGGGAATTTAAACAATATAATTCATGGTTACATGATGAATATCAATGGAATATAATGGATATACTTAACGACGATCTTATTATTTAAATAAACTATGTCAATCAAAGGGTTCTTTTAATATATTGTCATTATCAATCTCTATTCGAATAAATTATCCTGTATGTTTTTTTTCTCAATTGTTCACCTTGAATTAAAGGAAACCTCATCCTTGACGAGCATTAAGTATTATTAATGTGTGTATGTTTTTGAATCAACAATATGCCAAAGCTTTCTTTTTATGCTTTTTTTCTCATACAAAATAAAGTGATATGCTTGAGTAAACATTGCATATATAGTGTATTCGTCTATTGATCATTTTTTTTCTTTGCTTCACATATATCGTCACACATATCAACATTTATACAAACCACAAAATACATAATGTCGTTGGATGAGCTCGTTGATATGTATAATCAAAAGTTGAATTCTTATGGTGGTCGATCAACAATTGCAACTGATCCATCACATCATACTCCTCAATCAATGTTTACAACGAATACGGGATTTGATTCTGTAGTTGATACAGCAAACATAGCTAACGCAGCAAATATAGCAAATACAATGATAAATAATAATAATAACAATTTTGCTTTTACTGAAAATGAAGCATCAGCATTATTATTTGATACAGATTCATATCGTTTTCACCTAAACGATCGTGTACTTGCTGGTGACATAATTCGACCACCTACACAAAATCCTCCACGTGTTGAACATATTAAATTTACTGATACACTTGTATTTTCATCAAGTGATGCAGCAATTGACGATTATGAACATAATGAAGAATATACAAAAAGATATCCTGATGTTAAACCAAAATTAACTATAATAAATGCTCAACAAGCACAAATACCGCCTGCTAATATACATACAAATCCAGGAGACGAAATTCAACGTTTAGTACAACAAGGAGTACTAAGGAATTTGCACGGGTAGAAAAAAAAAGAAAGAAATAATTTTTTTTTTCTTTAAAAAACATTCTTTCTCTTTAGTTATATAAAGTATCCATATAATTATATTGAACCTCCTTGGTATTTTAATCAATTAGATGAACAACAAGGTTTTGTTAATCTGCAACCACCTCGAAGTTATTTAACAGCTCGAGATATTGCAATAAATACGATTGATGAATCCCATAACATGCAATTACCTCATGGAGTTCCTCAAAATCCTATTACACAAGATCGTTATGAATTAATTCCACTACCTAAAATGGTTTATGAAAATTTTGTTCCATTAATTGCAGCACGTCGAATTGTTTATCATCGACAAACACCTGGACGTGTTGCCGGTGAAGCACCTTCTCAAAACATAGAAAATTCTTTTGTAATGGCTTCGTTACCTGAAGTTGAAGAAATGACAGTTAACGTTTAGAATCAAAAACACAAAACTCATTTTATTTGTCGAACTTTTTCTAAAAACATATTTTCTTCTTTTGCAATATGTTCAATGGGCAAAAGCAATTCATTTATCATATTCTCAATTGGTTTTGCACATTGTTCAGCTTCAATGGCAAATAATATTTGATTAAGTATAGTCAAATAACAAAAAATTTCTAATAAATTCCATTCATCATCTGTTAATAACATTTCTCTTGCATTTTGATAAACAGATAAAAATTCTTTTGCATATTCAAAATTAAATATTGATCCAACTCCACACCATAAACATAAAGTCATAGCTAAATCAATTAATAATGGGCCAACATACATGTCATCAAAATCAAGTACAGCAGCAAGTTTATTTTCATTTGGAGAAAAAAGAACATTATCATCATGAATATCAGCATGAATATAACCAATAGGCAAATTTTTCACAAGATTTTTTTCAAAAATATCTTGCTCATCTTTGTCACTAAGTAAAGGAATTGATTTTGTATGCTGATCCGTTATTAGACGTATTCTTTTATATAAATCTGGATATTCTTTTTCAAATTGTTCACATGAATGAACAAGTTCATATTTAATATCAATAAAATTAACTGAACATCGGTTCGATGCAACAAGTTTGAATTTTTTCGTTTTAATATTTGAATGCATGCGACCAAGAAATCGACTAATTTCTAATGTTTGCCATAATTGACGAACCGGTGTTTCAGGTGTATCTAAATATTTAATTCCATGAATAAATGGAAAGAGAACACAATAATTTTCATTATTAAATGTAAAAATTCCAGGTGGATCAATCATAGGTGCAACAGGAAGATTAAGTTCATTGAAAAGATAAGCAATAAAATCTAATTCAAATTTAATATTTTCATAAGATATTTTTCTTAATGTTCCTGGAAGATATTGACGAAGAATATAGATTTTTCCATTAGGTTTTGTACTAAATCTCAATGTTATATTTGTCCATCCATTTGTTAATCGTTCGATAGACGATGCCAGTTCACCTAATGAATATTTATTCAATATTAAAGTAAGTTGATCAGCAGTTATTATATTATCACTCATTTTTTTTCGAATAAATCTATAGCCTTTTACTCGATAACATACTAATGCTAAAACAATATTTTTATTGTTCCCCGGTGAAATATTTACCCAGATAACGAGACAAGGCTTTTTATTTTTTGTCATCAGTAAAATAATAAATTTTAGCTTTTCATATTTGATGTTAGCGACATCTATCGAAAGATAAATAATAAAATTAAGAAGAACGGTATATCGGAGACTTGTTATAAACTAAAAATAAATATAAAAAGTGAATTCTATTTCGTTTTTTTAAAATCCTATAAAATAACTATTGGTTGTTAATCTTTTCTTTTGATATTAAATGATTCATTCTTTTTTGTCCTTTCAAATTTCTTCTCTATCTTTTACGTAAGCACTTTCGAACAACAATCGAATCAATGACAAGTACAAATGATCCCTATCAATTTCCAATGAATGATTCAATCTCTAATACATTTCGTACACGAAGTTCAAGTCGAAATCGAAAAGCAATTTTAACTAATACAGAAAATAATTCTAAAACGAAAATTCCAAATAAACGAACAGAAAATATTTCAAAAACTGGACAACAACAACAACAACAACGTATTACTACTCGTTCTTCACAAAAATCTCCTTTAACACCAATGATTGATGAAAATGATAATTCATTTATGTCAAATATCAATTCTGGTTTTTCTCAATTTGTTAACCCAAAAAAACGACAACGTGATGATAAAAAAACAAAAACTATTAAACGACCTAAAGGTATATATCGATATTCCTTAAACGAGTGTTTCATAGAGAATGCATAGTAACATTAAAGCCAGTGATCCCTATTATGAAAAATACTGTACATATCAGTTTGTCTATATTTCATTTGTTGTTTTTTTTTGTTGAATTACTCTTTTTAGTTACTACCTATTCTGATGAAAATCAACCACCAAATGATGAAGCTCAAGATATCGAACAAGTTAAACTTATCTATGAAACTGCTGGTATAATTTTAAAAAATCTTTTTTTTTTATTTTTCAAATAAATAAAATATTTCTTAGATGGTCGTACAAATCTCGCTCGAGCTGCAGCAACAAATGCTCAAATTATTGCCAATCGGAATCCATCAAATACTCGTTATCCAATAACAACAGATACAACTTATAATTTAAATGATTATAATCATATTATCGATGATACTCAAACAGAAACTTTAATTATTCCAGATACATTAATTGATATTGATACACAACATAACGATAGTTCTTGGCAAAGAGATATTGATCGACTTATGAAAAAACTTGAAGAACCATCATCTTCAGTTAAATCACAAACACAAATTGTAGAAACACCAATTGAAGAAGAAACTCTTGGACCAATTTATCTCTCTCAAACGGGAAAAACTCATCGACGACCAATTCAAACATTAAAAGCAATTAGTCAATCAGAAATAAATCAACAAATTCAAACAACAACAATTATTAAAACAGGTGAAATTGGAATACAAACTGAAAATAGTCAAAATTTATCGTCTATTCATGATTGTTGTCAAGATGTTTCTGTTTGTCCCTGTGTTCTCGTAAGTTAAATACTGATCATTTATTTATTTATTTATTTATTTATTTTATTTTATTTTAGCGATATAGTAAATTAGAACGTTTATTTATGGAAAAAATGTCTCGATTTATCAGCATTGTCCCAACAATATCAAATTCACATCAACAAATTATAATGCCAGAAAATCATTCAAAACGTCGATACGTACAAAATTATTCTCGATTTCGAAGATTCCGTGCTCGTCGTAAAATTCATAATCGAATGATTATACCTTCTATATCTAATAATGAATCAACAACTGTCGAAGAAATTTCTGATGAAGTATGATATTCAAATTATTTCTTAGCTTTATTATCAAATAGAAGAATAACATATGATGATTGATCATTTGATCAACATTATTTGTTAATCAATATGAGAAATGACTTTAAAGCCCTGCGGTTCTAAAATACTTGGAACCGGAACCGAACTTTCTCTTGAGGGTGAGAGTTTCAAGATATGCGGATGTTGCAAGATGCGCATTATACCAGTACCTTCCTTCATTTATTCATGAAAAGTTTTCGTAGTAATCCTGGTTTTTAAGAAAAAGCTCTTAAGTTAGTTAAAATGAAAATTATTAAACGGCAATGAACAATACTATCTACTTCATTTACAACGACTACTCCATCATCTCTCCATACAGATTCACTTGATTCCCAATCGACAACATCAAAAGGTCATCTTTCATACTGTTTTGATATACTACAAAATGCCTTAATATTGTCAACAACAACGTATGATTTAGATGAATATATGCCATCAAATGTCCCATTTAGTGGACATGATGATGTTTTATAATCCCGCGACAATAGAACTTAACATTAACGATCTAATTTTCTATAACTGAAGATTTTTATGCTGTAAAAATATCATTGTAGAAGGACTGTTCTCGTCTGCAAAAAACACAAGTATCGATAAGTGCATCGATCTTGGTGCAGAAAAAATACTCCTATTGTTATTTTTTCAGAAAAATTTAGCATTATTAAAATCATGTGATGAGAAAAGTTGATGAAGTTGATACAACTGAAATGAAAAAAAAGATTGTTGAACAATCATTTTCCACAATCTCTTATCCAAACTAAACAACAATCTACAACTACGACAACAAAAAAGACGTTTAGAATGAGTAACGAAGATGATATTGTTCTTTGTGATTATGATCATTGAGAGGATAAGGAAATGATGAAGTAGGTGTTTTTTAGAACTTGTAATATTAAGATTTCATATGAATATATTGTATGTTAGTGTTTTATCTCATTATTTGACTATTTCTTCTATCTTTTGAAGTAGCTACTTATTTGATGAAGTAATAAACACGAAGAGTTTCGAAGATAAAATGTAGAAATTTCTAAAAAAAATCTAATGACTCGGTATTTTGTATGTTACGGTAAAATCATCGGTTCCTTTTTCCGTTCCGGAAAAATTTTAGGAGCCGAAAAAGGAACCGCAGGGCTTTAAATGACTTACTCATATGAGTTTATACATCGTTGAAGAATTATTCTAAAAAATGGTTCCACTTTGGATCCTTTTAAATTCAACATGACCCGTAGCACATTTGTAAGATTCTTAGAGTAGAAAAAAAAAGGTTAACATCAAAACAAGAAACTGTTAACTTTCGATGCAATAGATGTACGAAATCTACCGGTGTACGTCAATGCGTGTTGAAGGAAATAGTTCCAGCTCAGGGAAAATTATTGGCCGTAGGCAAAGTTTTTTATTTGGAGAATTCGAATAAAGTTTCATGTTAGAAAGTATCAAAACAACTGCTTTTATTTAACTATACAATTCATTACTTTTTGGAGTGAAAGTTGCTTCTATTCATTGTTGATGAATAAAGATTATGGTTCTATATAATTTTCTAATGAGTTAAATGAATTGATATATCTTTTTCCTTCTTTGAATGTGTGAGCGAAAAAGAAAGTTCGGTTTTTCCTTTATTTTTGATAATGAGAATTTTTTTTTAAAGAGTTTATCTCCGTTTAAAGAGAATTTTTGTTTTAGTAGCAGATTGTGCGCCTCTATGATAGTTGTTCAGTGATCTGATAGAATTCGTTAACGAAAGCATTAAGAAAAATTGTTCACTTTAGATTTGTCATGTCTAAATTAATAGTTTTCTTCATTAATACATCTCTTTATATATTGACGGAAAAATCAAACATCGATAAGGTTAATAAAAAAAAGGATTTAGTTCGAATGTCAAATGATGAATGTTATTTAAGATACATATTTATCTCCTTGAAAAAAACGATGCATAGGACGGTAATAGAAAGTTCCTCTTAATTAATTAATTTCTCGAAAAATGGCGACTGACATGAATATATATTGACATCAAAATATGCTTAGTGTTCAGAGTTTTGAACTGAAAAATTCCTTTGAAAATTCTCATAATCTTTTTGGTGTTTTCAAAAATCTTTTTAACTAGAGATTATGACAATAAATGAGACACAATAGAGAATTTTTTTGAAAAAATTGTACGCTTGGACATAATAAAGAACCTGGTGTCTTCTATGAGAGAGAAGTAGAAGTTTAGACAATCGTTATTTTAAATGTTAGTTTGCATTATTTAGGAAGGATAACAAGTGAAACTATAATTGACAGATTTTATATAATACTTGAAACAATAATCACTTTTAAGTATTTATTTACATAGGTCTTGTATAATGAATTCTTTTTTATTGTATTCTATTATTCAAGAAAAAAAACAAAAATTTGTCACATTTGAATTTCCAGCTGATATCCTTGACTGAAAGTTTCCTAGATCAAAAATAAAAAATGTTACATTAGAGAAAAACGAATTAGCTAAAACATTACACAATGTTCACAACAAAAAATATTCATCGCAGTACCAGAGTGACAGCTTTTTTTTAAGGGCATTACAAAACTCTATGAAATTTCAGTGTTCATAAATGTAACACTGATGCTCAATTAATCTCATCGATTATTACCAACAATTCTAGTGTAATACAGTCACACTAGTGAAATTCGACACATTTTTTTTGAAATACAGTAAAAGTCCTCTAATGTAGGCATCATCTGATGTTACTAAATATTAACATGAAAAACGACCAGATGTTTCATCAAGCCCTATTGCTGTTGTTTACTGTTGTTCTTTATTTCTTTTATATATGTACGCACGATTGGTTCGTCACCTTTTTATGTGTCCAATGATTGTTGATTATAACACAAAATACATAACATCATTTTGTTTTTCCACGTTCTGCACGTGGGTGTTAGAACATGTTGATCACATAACAGTGGTCGTTATTGCTTGTGGGACTAGGGTGTGAATGTGAAGAATAGACTGATACCCAAAGCGAGACCTGAGAGAATAATGTATAAATTCTTCAGCTTTTTTTTCTTATATTTTGTTTTAGACAACAACAGAATTAGATAATCAAGTCGAAGAGAATGTTGAAATTCCGCAAGAACAAAATGAATCTATTCCTTCAAATGTTACTGCTAATCCAAGAGAAAATATAATTTCAACAACAATAACAATAGAAAAAAATCCTGAATCAATTGATGAATTATCTACAATTGAAAAACTTGATACAACTACAATAATTGATCATTCATCAACTCTTTTAATTTCATCAATTACTAATACATGTTCAACTGGTCGACGTTTAGTTTTAACAACATCATCACTCGATGAAAATCAAAAAGTATATTTACAAAAAAAAAAAAAACTAAATCTTTTTTGAAATTTGCCTCTTTTTTTTAGTCTCAATTTCGTTTATTTATTACTCGTTTTGATATATCAACAAGTTCAACAGTTGATTCATCGACAACTCATGTTATTGTTAATGAAAATTCTTCTCTTGTTTGCCCATTAACTGGAAAAATAATTCAAGGAATAGCTCGTCATTTATTTATTGTTTCATATCGTTGGTTAAATGAATGTTTATCTCAAGAAACAATTATTGATGAACGTCCATATGAAATTCGTGGTGATACAAGTTTAGGTTCTGATCATGGTGGAATGCGTCGATCACGTTTAACATCATCATATTTACTTGATAAATATTCAATTTGTTTACGTTGTTTATCAAATGATTGTGCACCATTACAAACAATTGAACAAGTTCAAGAATTAGTTGAATTATGTGGAGCAAGATTAGTTCGAAATTTTAGTGAAATAAAAACACTTGATAAAGATCGACAAATGGTTCTTGTTCTTGGTATTAATGGATTTTCTGGTGGAGAAAAAAAACGTAAAGCACTTTTAGATACATGTCAACAATTTAATGTTAGATGTGTTAATATTCATTGGTTACTTATTTCCATTGCTAAATTTGATATACAACCATTTGAAAATTATGATATTAATCAAGTTTAATTCATCTTTTTTTTTTCTTTTTCTTTTGCCTGTCTTACTGTTAAAACGAGATTGAATCTATTTAGGTTAGATATGATTAATGCAATAGTTTTGTTTATATTTTTGTGAAAAAAAAAAGAATTTATTTTTGACTTTCAGATAATTGAATTGATTAAACATTTTGTTAAGATAATTTGTCAGATATTAAAAACACAGTTTGAAATAAAAGAAATCTTCCAACATATATCATTTTTTTTTTGTTTTTGAATTTCATATATAGATTTTTAATTCTTTCAGATAAAACTTGAATATGGATGCAGCTATTGAGCAATATGCACCAGTTGAAACTCATAATGATAGTCCAACAGTATCATTATCTTTACCATATACTCTTCATCCATCTTGCCTTCATATGCAAGTTCGATCTGGTTCAAAAACAAAAAATTTAGTTCAATTTGCAGTACGAAAATTATTTCCATCTGATCAAAATTCAACAAATATTGAACAAGTAACATGGAATGCATTCGGTGATGGTATATCAAAAGCAATAGCATGTGCTGAAATGATAAAACGACGTTCAACAATAAATTTCTATGAATATGTTCAAATTGGTTATAAACGTATTGAACAAACTTGGCAACCAGTTAATTTAAATGTTGAATTAGATACACTAAAAGTGAATAAAGATATTCCAGCTATTTGTATTCTTCTTTCAAAAATTCCTTTGTCGAATTTAAATGAAGGAGAAAATTAATTTTTGTTTTTTAGATAAACGAATAAAAAAACAAAAACAACAATAAAATATTCCTTTTATTTAACTATGTCAAGTGCTGCACTCACATTTGATATTATCTTCTCATGTTTAATAACACTTATTTTTCTCTATCGTTGTGGAAATTATCGTCGACAACATCCACTAACAACTGTAGCTGTGTATATTTCATGGACATTTTCAGTTCTTTTTATTTTTCTTCTACCATTGGATATTTCACTAGTAAGTATTTATTTCTTAAAAAAATAATTGTTGATATGAAGCTACGACGACAGATTTATGTCGATCGAGAAACACTTTACACTTATGTTTTATGGATCAGAGATGGAATCGATACGATTTAGTTCCAAAAAACAAAATGTGAACCGATTCAATCTCTGTTGAGGATGCCTCGAAATGTGTTGCTACATATTTTCATTCAGCTCTCGTTTCCGTAAATCCTAGCGTTAAGAATTTTGAACTGACCTAAATCCGTCATGCTAACTTTACATCAATAAAATGATTTATAAAAATTTTATTCAGGCTGCCTATCAACAATGCATTGGCACAAATTCATCAACGATATCTACTATTACTACTGATAATGTAAATAAAGTAAAAAAGTTTTATTATATTTTTCTTTTAGTATTGTTAATAAAAAAAAATGTTTGTAGAGTAATTCAGTCAAAGATTCGTGTCCTCGACCATGGTCTTATGTAGATCGAAAATCTTATGGAGTTTTATGGCGTATTATTTATTGGACATCACAATTTCTTACTTGGTAAAAAAAAATAGAAATAAAAAGTAACTCTTATTTTATTTTAATTTTTTTTTCTTCAGGCTTGTTTTACCATTTATGCAATCAATCTGTCAAACAGGTTAGTTTGTTTTCTTTGTTATATATATGTTTTTGTTTAATTTACTTGGTAAACTTTTTTTTTGTAGGTGAATTTTATCTCAAAGGAAAGATTCGATACGCTTTGAGATCAAATTTACTTTATTATGGAACACTTTTACTTATATTTGGAATTCTTGTTATTTATGTTGCAATGAATTATAATTTAAATGCATCAAGTTTTAAGGTAAATAATCGATGGAGATATTTTATTGATTAAAAATTCTTATCAGATTATTATTTATTACTTTTCCATTTTAACAAATATTAGACGGGTGTATTATGATTTGTTTACTAGATTAAGGATAGACACGGCAAATAAAATAGTTAAAAAGAAACTAACGCACTAAAGAAAGAACAGAGATAATTGTCTGAAACTTTCTTAAATAATAATTGTTTCACTTAAAAGCGAAAAATATATGTTTTCTTCTTACTCAGACTATATTAATCTAACAGATTGCCTGAATCTGGCATCAGTTGTCAAACAGGAAAAAAAATACTTTGTTCAAGATTAAATAATTTTATCTTATATCAGATTAGAATCCCATAGGAGTCGCGCTAAAAGGTCTTAACTACAAATTTTGACATATGATTAAAAACTTCATATAAACTTTAACACAAATAATTAATATTCATCCAAAACAATGTTGGGAATATCTAAATCTATGATTGTTTGTCACAAGTTGAAATGGAATTGTCGATAATCGACAGTGTAAATCAGCAATCAGATAACGAGATAGTCAGATGAAATATTTCGTGACTTAATTATCTCTTGAGAGTAGGATGTCGAATCTAACAGTAAAGAAATTAACAAAATGACGATGCAACCAATCGATGATATAGTTCATCTTTAACCTTTTCAGTGAGAATCTTTTATTGTCATGTTTGACTCTTGTCGATTCCACTGTATCTTATGAGAACTATTGAAATCTAATAATAAATCGATCTATTATATAGACGACTGTTATCGCAGCAAGTACGACTTGGGGCCTTTTTCTTCTTGTATTAATGCTTGGTTATGGTCTTGTTCAAGTACCATTAAATGTTTATAATTATTCTCGAACATCTTATACACTTTCTCATATTCAATTTAAATTATCTCAACTTTATAATGAAAAAATTGATATTGAAGAACGTTTAGAATCTCTTGTTGATGAAGTATCAAAATTATGTCTTGAAATAAAATATAATGATCCATTACGACCATGTTTAGAACAAATTGTTAAAATAGTTCCTGAAGAATATTCTAATCGGGTTAAATTAACAATGGATGATTATGAAGATTATAGAAATACAACAAATAATTTAACAACAGAAAAAACATTAATTAGATTACATAGACTTTTAAAAAAAAATAAACATATTCATCATCGAGTACAAGCTTCATGGGTACATATGATTAATGAAGCTTTTTATTTAGAAGATATTGTAAATAATGAAACCAATACTAATCGTTCATTTGTTAAACAAAGTCCACTACCAAGATCATGGTTAAGACAAAAATTATTTGATGAACATCCAGTACTAGGTAAAATAGAAAAAGTTATTGATATAATCATCATCTTTTATCTTATATTTTCGATTTTGAATTAATTGAAAATAGAATAGAAAAACATAACAAAGAAAACATATCGTATCAAAATAAATAAAATTAAGTCTTTAAATCTCTACATATAAAATCGATGTCAAAACTAGGGACGTGTCATAATCAGCACGGTTTGGTATTCGTATTAATTAGACATTGGATCGAAATTAGGAGATACCAGTTATTTTTACGTTACTAATAAATTGGTAATAGAAAATTTTATCAGTTTGATATGTTCATTAAGGAAAGACTATTTTTCGAAAATAATGATACTCTATAAAATTAGATCAAAGAATTTTCAACTATGCCTCCAGATATTCAAGACTCTGGAAAACAGGTTCACTGCAACGAAAACTTTTTTGCTATCAAAATAGTTTTTTGATCTGTTCAGATTGTAGGACACATCAACTTATGTATAAAGAGTTATTTTTCACTAATTTCGGACAATTTAGTGTGACTAAAAATCATAATTCCTAATTTTGGTATATTTTCTGCATAAATGAATACTTCGACGTAGTGACAGCTGTTTAACCAATATCATTTGTACAAAAATTATTTTCTGATCATTTGGTTGTGCTTCGTGTATGACCACACAATATCGTGACTTTAAGAATCTGATAAGGGTAAGAATATGGATGAGAAAAAGTTTTGTTTCTTAGGATGGAAATGTTCGTGTTATCTGATCAATGAAAGATATTCGTTATGGGAATGTCGGTATTATCCAAAGAGAAAACTCACGCCCACGCCCATACCTTCGAGATTAATCATCTGAAATGGACAAAATGAACGTATATAGAGACATAAAGCTTCATTGGTGTAGGTTATGAAACAGGTAACAAGTTGTTGCAACTTAAAACTTTCGTGTGTTACCACGAGCTGTACGACCATTTCAAAATAGCGAAAAATAGGTTTTTGTACGCAATTAGATGTGTCTTACAATCTGGGCGAATCAAAAAAATATTTGGACGGAAAAGGTTTTTGTTGCAATAAATGGATTTTTCAGAGTCTGAAGTCTCTAGAGATCTAACAGTACTGATGATCTTGATATTCGAATTCAGCATGATCGATTATCTCTTGTCCACTAAGCTTTAGATCAAAAGCAATCTATCATTTGGATATGTTCCCTCTTCAGACGAGTTGTGTGAGAAATGTGTAGGATAGAGCCCTTCAAATCCAAAGTTGTGGAATCTGAACCCGACGGGTCCTATTCTGAGCCTGAAAACTTAACTTTGATATTTGAATCTTCTACTTTGCTACATTCTATTCAGATGAATTTCTTAAAAGAAAAATAAATATTTAATTTAATATCAAAAAAAAAAGTTTTCTTTTTCTTTAGAATGGTATACATTTTGTCTTATACGTCCATGGGCTCTTCGTATTGTTGGTATAAGTTTAGGGTGTATATCAATAATAGTTATTTGGTCTGAAATGACATTTTTCAGTACGAAACCCGTTTTATCCATATTTGCTCAATGTGTTAATGCAGCTCGACGTCATTATGATTATTTTACAATTGAAGTAAGATTAAATAAAAGAACAACATTTGTTTCTATTTAAATTTTAAAAAAAATGATTTCAATAGATATTCTGTTGTTTAAGTATTGCTTATTTATGCTTATGTGCATATTATACAATATTTCGTATTCGTATATTTAATTATTTTTATTTATCACTTTATCATTTAACTGATGAAAATAGTTTAATTTTTGCTGCAACATTTTTATGCCGTTTAACAGCTCCACTTAGTTATAATTTTCTTGGTATGATACATATGGATCAAACGATTACAAAACAAACTCTTCAAACAGAAACTGTTTTTACAACGGTAATTAAAATAAATCAATAAATAAAAAAATTTGTTTTTTTGAAAAATAATCTAGATAATGGGTCGTATGAATGTCATTCCAATAATTTCCAAAGGTTTTAATTTTTATTTTCCAATGTTAATATGTATATTATGTGTTGGAACATATTTTCGACTTGGTTCACGATGTTTACATACATTTGGTTTTCAACAATTTTTTGATGAAGATAATATATCAGCTGAATATATTGAAGATGGAAAAAGTTTAATGAGAAAAGGTTAAAATTATTTTTATTGATTTTATTTTTTCTTTATTTTGAAAATAAAAATTTAGAACGAAGAAATTATGGTGGAAATGAAACATTATCAACAATGGCAAATACAACAACACCTACTCAACGACGTGATAGAAGAAGAGAATTAGAAGAAAAATATGGACTTCGATCAACAACGACCAATATGAAAACATCAACATCACGAGATGATTATTTCCAGGATCTTAAATCAGGTTAGAATTTTGTTTTTTTTTTGAAGACTATTTTCTATAATAGATTTTTTCTTATAGAAACTCGTCAATTAAGACCACCGTCAATTTCAGATGAACCATTGATAAGTCCTAATAATAATCAAACAGTTCCTTCGGGTACCACAATATTATCAGGTAAAGAATTCTCAAGAGAAAAAATAAAAACTGTTTCTTAAAAAATATTTCTGTCATTGTACACGCTATTTGAAGACAGTAAATAAAGTTCTTTTTTATATAACTAAAATAACGATAAACATGTTTGTTTCCTATTACTATTACACTAGATTTTGATAAATGTTTAATTAGAAAAATCTTTACGATTAAACTATGATTTGAAAGAATTGACAATATATGTTCAATTATAGGGGAGAAAAAAAAACTTCTAAAATGTTAAGATCTTATAAGCAAGATTTCGAAACATTGAATAGGATGACAAGTTCTTCAGAAAAGATGAGAATTTTCAGTACTGAATATCGGTAATGAGTGAAAGTAACGTTATTAAATGAAATTTTGATGTTAGAGAAACTGATTTTAAGATAAATTATCGAAAAACTCAGTTTGCTAAGAACGAAAGTCAGTACGATGAAATTGATGTTATTCTGTTTTGTTTGTGTTCGATTGAAACCATACATAACGGATTATCAGATATGAGAATTGAATTTATTGTATTTCAATGATTGGAATTAGACAATTTTTCTTGATCATAAAGGATTGTTGATATTGATCGTCCAGCATTTTTATCAACTGGAAAATAGTGAACTTCATAAGATTTCAGTATCCATGAAAACTGTCGTTTCTTCCTTTGTATTTTATATAGACTTTCAGAGTTTTTAATATTTTCTCATTATTATTTTAAACTTTGAATTCCATAAGTAACTGAATTACATTGTATAATAAGAATATATTAATATACTTAATGATATTTTTATAATTTTAGGAACTTCTCGTCGAACAGCTCCACCTACAGACATATTTAATGATGTTTAAAATAACTTATTTGTTGTTATCATATAATTTATAATATTCATATAACTCTTCTAGTTGTTTATGGATGTTGTATTCTCATTGATATTGTCTGTCTAATCAGTCACTAACGAATTCTCTTTTATTTAACATTTAGTTTTACTCACTCTTGTCATTATAAAAAGTTGTTTTTATTTATTTTATGTTGTATTTGTCGTTTAAGATGAATGATCAAGGAGATAATCAAATCAATAATAATAATTTAAATGAATTACGTGCTGATGTTGCTGCAACAACAGACGTATTGAAAGTAACAGTTGAAAAATTAGTTCAACGTGGTGATAATTTAGATGCATTAAATGATCGAGCTGAAACATTAAATTCAACATCATATCATTTTCGTGGTGCAGCAAGACGAGTCAATCGACATATGAGATGGCAAAATTATAAATTAACTATTTTTATGAGTAAGTTTTTATTTGAAATGGTTTTTAAAAAACATTATTTATTTATTTATTTATTCATTTATTCTAGTCTTTGTTGTACTCTGTATAATTGTTATTATTATATTGATGGCTCTTCATCCATGGAGAAAATGATCTGATGATGATGCTAATAAGAATGGTTTTGTAAATAAGAAGTTTGATCTAATGAGTTTGTGGACATAGTTTTTAACTTTGATTTTTCTATGATCTGTTATATTTATAATACATCTTTCATTTTTTTTTGTGAATACATATTAAACAAGTAAAAGAGATTTAATGAAGATTGGTAGAATATAATGAATGATGACGAAAGAGAATGATGATGAAATGGAATAAAATATTTTGAGAATCTTTTCATTTTCTAGAAAACAAAAAAAGAGCGACTTTGATTTCTCAATTAAATTGAACTTTTATGAGACTTGTTTGATGTTTGTTTGATGAAGTATATATTTGTGATAATAATGATTTTTTCTGATGTTGAATATAACCAAGGCTACAAATAAAAGAGTTTTTTATTCTTAAATTTTTTTTTCACCATACTTATGAATATGTTCATCAAATATGTCAACTGTATTACAAATTGTATTGGATAAAACTTGTCGATTTCGTTCAATGATTACTGTTGTTGATAATGAACTCATAGAATCATGATCACTCATATTTCTACTATTGATAATTTTCTTTCTTTTTCTTTGTTGCTTGAATTTTAAACATTGTTCTTCTAAAAGACTTAACGATGATGAAGATGAATATCTCAATGATCTACTGTTGGGTAAATAAGAATTGTTACGATTTGTTTTTAAAAGCCAGTTTATAGTTCGATCATGTTGACATTTTTCAATAGTTAATAATTTATTATTCTGCATCAATACGAAATGTATATTGAACACATATATTGAAATAAAATATGGCGCTTGAAATTTATTATTCACTTTAGAGTATGAGTGCGATCTATTACATTGTGTATGAAAGTCTTGTTCAACTTGTATAACAGATTTAGATCGATAGTTCAGAATCGATAACATGATGATTCAATCTTATTAATACAATTAATGTCATCCAATCGTTGTTCATGAGATCGATATACGAAAAATATTCAGCAAAAATGTATATCGATCATTGTTTTTTTTTGTTATCGGTTGCATTTGCTAAATTTACGCATATCAGGAGTAGACTACAAGTTCTGGCTCATTTTTTATAATAAATTTTTCTATGTTAATAAGTCTTCTTTTACAACTGTCTTCATCGAGAAAAAATATAGTAACATATGTTCTTCAAAATGATTATAAATGGATCCCTCTGGTTCATATAGTAAGAAGGTTATCAGTCTAGAAATATCTAACCTATGTCAAGAAAGTCTTTGTACAAAATGTTTGTTCAATTTTCAGTCATTTGGAAGTAACTTGAGAAAATGAAAAGTAGTCAGTTAGAATCAGAATTTGATGCTCTCTCTAAATATGTATTCAAAATTTTTTTTCTAACTTGAAGTTGAATCATTGAGAGTGAATCTTTGATAGAGACCAACAATGATGCTTGGACAGAAGATTTCGTGTAGTCCATTTTTGTATTTGGATTAAAACTGCTTCAATTCAAATCTAATGAATTTTTTTTACACACCAATTTATAGAATGAAGTTTGCTCTACAAAGTGTCCACTTTGTTTTACTTTCCATATATCAGTGCAAACCATCATCTCCGGGAGTCTCATGTGGCGCATGGGGAAAAATCATCTCTTTTGAAATTGTTCGCGAATAGTCGCAGGTATCGTTAATCGTATTCCACCTTCTGAGAAAGTGTGTTGAGTTTCCCTGGGTATGAAAATAAGAGCATGTCGAAAGTGTCCCGAGTGAATATGATCAGGAATTACTCTCGGAGACTCCATAGAGACCATGTGGAAAAATCAGTGATTTTGAAACTGTACCTGAATAGTTCAGGGTATCGTCAATCCGACTTTAGTGTTCTATAGAGCATGTTGAACTTTACGTGGGACAGAGATGAGAACAGTTGGAACGTGTTTTGAGCGAACATGGATAGGAATTAGTCTGTGAGTGATCTAAGGCCTATGGGGAAATATCAGCATTCTTGGAATTGTACGCGAAGGGTTGACGTTATCGTTAGTCTAATATCACCATCGAATAGAGCATGTTGAAGTCTACTGGGAACACGACTGAAAGCACTTAGAACGCGTCGTCAGCGATTATAGACAGGAATTATTTCTGGGTTTCTAGAGTCTAAGCCAAAAGCCAGTATTTTTAAAATTGTACACAAATGGTTTAAGATATCGTCAATCCGATATTAAGCCTCAATCCTAAATAGTTGTCAAAACTAAGTGAATTTCTTGACCCAACCTGACCCCACGATAGACTTCATCTCTATGTTTTTTTCATTTTAAAATAAATTTCCTAACCCAACTCAACTCCAAGACACATAGACTTTATCTCTATATACTTTTCATAGTCTAATAAACTTCCTTACCAAAGCCAACCGTAAAGATATATAGTTCATTCGTATATGCTGTTTATATTAAAACTTATTTTCTATACTTATTTGTCAAGCTACTGATTTGAATTTCTTTGAAATTTCCCCAAAATCGTTTTCTTTGAATTCCCTTGAAATAGGAACTCACCATGCTATGTCTAAGTGATATATAACCACTTCTGTGCACAAAAATCACATGCCCACCTGTTATCCAAAGGTTATCCTGCGTGCTACGATCGCGGTACCCATTCGATATCATGAGAGTTCGAATAGCTAGTATACTCTTTTGTAGACTGTGCATCGATTATTCAAATCAATAATCATATTATTACCGAAGGAATCTGCGAGAGATAACATGATGAATTTTTTTCTTGGCAAGAAGTCCGGTTGAATATTCCTCGAGTTACTGTCCAAAGTTATCAAGTGAACTGATCAAAGTGTTGGTATCAATCAAATGAAGTGGACATATCCTAGCATATGGCATATTTTATTTGCGAGATTAAATAGTGAAAGTTATAAAAAAAGATAAAAAAACATGTTGGAACTAACTATTGAAAAATTAAAAGTGATATCGAAAAAATTTGAATAAGTAGCGAAAAGCTAGAGATAAAGATAAAGCAAGAGCGAAGAATATCTTTAATCTGTTTGAATCCTTGATATTAATCGTCGAGTAACTCAAGAAGTTGTCTGAGTCGCTCATAGCTCCTAAAATGAATAAATAGAGTGTTTAAACATATCAGAAAAAGCTCTTGAGTTGATAATTTCAAGAAGACGATGTACAACTGATTTTTTCATAATCAGTCGACATTCAGTTGATGAATTATCGTCGAGATTGTTTATATTCTTGCAACATACTTGGCAGCCGGGTTATTGATCTATTCAGGAATATCACTGATGCTGTAGAGAAGATATAATATCATGTAATTATTATAAACCTAATCAGTATTCTGTCGGCATATATAACTTTGTTGAATTTGGATGAGTCTTACCGTTCGGTGCTTGCCCATTTATGACCATTATGATAGCAAAGACAATAGCCAAGTGGAATTTGCTATTGCCACGAACCATTTTCTTATGCCGACATTTACTAATTGAGGATCAATTGTGATTTATCCATGGATATTTTACTGTATATATAGTCCATCCCCGAGAGAGAAAGAGTCAGATAAAAAAGAGAGAGGAGGAGTCAGAAAAAAAAGAGAGGAGGAGTCAGAAAAAAAAGAGAGAGAAGGAGTCAGAAAAAAGAGAGAGAGAGAAAGAGTCAGAAGAAAAAAGAGAGAGTGTGGGTGTACGAAAATCAATTGGAAACAGACCGATCTACAGCTCTTTAATACAAATCAATCTGCTAGTCTCAACTCTTGCTTTTCAGCAATCGATTCCCTGTCGAAAATTAACTAAAAATAGAATGATAACAAGTCATTGTACTTGAATTAAAAATAATTTAGACGAATGTAGAATTAAGGCTTCCCCCCCCCCCCCTCAAAAAAAGTCATTTTTCGTCAAAGATTTCTAAATTGAGATAACTGCATAGGAAGATAGCCCGTCTTCAGATTTTTTAGAAATGATATGATTTTTTTTCAATGCCCCTTCTTTGGAGAAAAATTTTGATGACTTCTGTGATCAGCTACTCAAAAAACACGATTTTCCCTAGAAAAAAAATAGATTTTGAGGTTTTTGCATGGAGAATAAGCACTTTAATAGAATGTAGAGACATTTTAACAAGTTTTATAAATTGTTATAGGAAAATCAAAGTTCATATAGAAAAAAATGAAAAATCGACTAACTGGTTGACAAGAAAAAATTTTTATTTAAAAAAGTGCCTAAAAATGCTAAAATTTTTTTTCAAAAAATACTTTTCGTTTTTTCTCAGTTTATGCCTTTTTGATCGCACAATCCAAATTTTTCCTTCCAGACTCATTCAATTTATTTTTTTTTTTTTGTTGGAAAAAAGCATGCCAGGATGCAGTGCAATACCGAGCTCTTTTTTTTCAATTAAGCTTTTCTTTATTAAATATGCAGACACCTGTGTAACTCGACACCCCATTTTTTCAGGGTTTTTTGA